GAGTTTCCCTCTGAGTCCTCCATCTTTATGTAAGTTTTGCTGCCACGTCAGCTGTTTGTTTTGTTCATTATTTACTATTAAAATACTTATTTTTGTATTTGCCGAGTTTGAGTCCTGTCTGCACAATTGGGTTCGTTCCTGTCCAACAAATCCTGACAGTGGTGGCATTTGCTGTTGAAAATCTGCACACCTATTCTGACTGTCTTAATCCTCTTCTGCGTGTTCACATCCTGTATCCTGCCATGCATAAAACAGATGATGATGAAGACTTTCACTGTCGCAGTGGTGAATTTGCAAATAACCAGAATGTCCACTGACACTGATGTTTATGTCCCACTTCAGCAGGTTGACACATACAGCTATGGTCAGTTGTAACAGTACTATGATATTGTTGCTTAGAAAATAAAGCATAAAGTGTATTTACTTGTGATTCCTGTACCCAAAATGTGATGAAAAAAAGGTATTGTGATGATGTCTGCACTTGCACTCACTATGCTATGTGTATACATGATAACCCATCAAGTTTGAATAAATGGGTGATTAAAATAATACAATTAGCTGACCTTAAGTTTCAGATAATAATAATAATAATAATAATAATAATAATAATAATAATAATAATAATAATAATAATAATAATAAAAAGGTTTTTCCTGGTTCTGATTTTTAAAGTTTGATTTTATGCTTTGTTTTATATAACCAACATTGAAAGTTTTTTTTTATTTTATTTATGTTTTATCCCTAGCATTGAAGCTTGGCTCATGACAAAGATTGATAAACAGGAGGGGAAATGATAGGGTTTTTGTATCTTAAAACTTTATCAAACTTTGTTTTAGAGTGCCTGTTTGACCTTAAAGCTGTGAACTTGCAAAGTTAAACAAACTGACAGGAACTGATAAAGTTCATCCACGTAGCAGTTTCTGAGAACTGTTTTTTCTTTTGTAAAACCACAGATGTCAGGGTTTATACATATCAACTCATATTTTATCAATCTCACATTCTCATTCTCACACTGTTATTGTTTTTCTTAACTGTGCGTACGAAGCAGAATTTAACTGATACAATGGTATCAGGAACTCATTACTCACACCCATGTAAGCGTTTAATAAAAATGTTCTAGACCACCTTGCCCTCGTTGCGTAATCTAAACTGCAGGCATAATCAAGATGTCCAGTTTTCACTCCTTTCTGTGTGACAATAAAAAACGAGCAGATGCTGAAAGTCTTCGGAGTTCTCAGCTCACAGCTTTAACACAGTTGTGACTGTAGCTTCCCTTTTGCAAAAGCTTGGTTATGAACTTACACCGTGTTGTCTGTTTGTTTTGTTAAGGTAGGAATTACCTATCAATATCAAGATATTTATAGTGGGGACCCATCTCCACAGGGACTACTGATGTTAAGATAAAAGGGGGCAGTTATAGTCCTTGTTTTACCTGATGCTGATGATGAGGTTGTTCTCTCTGCACCTTCTTTCTAGTTGCTACTTCTGATGTGAAGGGAGAAGAGTTCATTTTAGTTACTGGTATTTGCCACCTGGTGTGCTAAAACCAAAAACTAACAACAAAAGGAGTCAGGAGCTCAAGCCTAAGGTGAAGACTAAAGCCGTGGTAATTAACACCTGGCAACAAAGAGCTTAATATCTTTCTTTGGTCTAGCCACAGTTCAGCTAGCTTGGAGATACTCTGAGAAGCAAGAAGAGAGTTTTGAATGATGCGATGGAGTGTAAGCTACTTAATGGGCAGGTGTTGCAAACATCCATCATGATCACTAGCCAATGGGGACTGACTTTGGCATAGAGAAGCTAATTCCATAGTGAGACACTGAAACAAATGCTATGAATGAAACTCTCCTGTGATAGTTAAAAAGTCATCAGAATATCTTCTACCTGAACATGCGCAGGTAACAGTTGCACTGGATGGGGTTCCCAGCCAGACTGACGCGTGCCAGTTGTGGTGTACCTTCAGAAAAGGGTTGGATGACACGCAGCTGGTTATGGCTGATGTCTAGGTAGATTAGGTTGGAGGATTTAGATACAGCTGTACTGGCTAGGTCTTGTAGAGACATGTGGTCCAGGAAGAGCTGGGTCAGTTTGGCCATAGACACTGCCTCTTCTCCCAGGTATGTCATGGGGTTGTAGCTCAGGTCGAGACGAGTCACTTCTGGTAGTCTGGACACATAAAGCAATGGAAATATAAAGAAAAATGGGAAAGTTTAACATTTAATATTTAGATATTACTCTGCCCGCACACAGGTGTGACAGGTGTGGGCCAAATCTGGTCTCAAGCTAGCACTGCTGGCATGGCAAGTGGTTTGTCAACCAGATGTGGGCAACGTCTGGCAACGATGTCTTACTTTTAACATAAGCTTTATTTTTCCCTGACACACAACCGCCCACTCTCGAGTCAATTAGTATTTCAGAGGTTGTCAAATATGTGCATTAACACTCAAAAACAAATTAAACAACATGCTTTCCTACACTGACAGGAAACCTTTGTCAGAAATGAGTAATGTTTCAAACACTTGCATTTCTCAGTTAGAAATAAAATATTACCATTTTGAAAAAAAACCACAGGATGGCCATCCACCTGGAGACCAATCAACCAAATCAGTCCTTTACTCAAACTGGTCACACATATGACCTTGTTTCCTAGCCTCTTATTGGTTCCAGCTACTGTTGAAGCTGGAGCCAGCTATAAAAAAAGCCCATTTTCATAGTCACAAGACTGAACAGATTCAGAACCTTACATGCAATTAAAAATAAAAATAATAAAATAAAAATCAATATCAGAGTCACAGTGAGTTTAATGGTTTTATTTGTTTAATGTTCTTGGTTAAGGAATAACTTTACAGCTTAATATGAGCGGTGTAAATGCACAACTTGGCTTGCAGCCCCTGAAACTAAAAGAGGCTGTGATTGGTGAGTTTGTCTTGAGACTCATTGTCCCCCTCATGGACTCACTTTGACTCTGCATTATTTTAATGGCTGCATTTGCACTTGCATGCCTTGATGCTCAAGTCTAGATTAAGATTTTTATTTATTTATTCATGATTGTTTAATTTTATTCATTTATTTTTATTTAGACAAAAAAATTTTTGTGGATGGCATGGCGGTGCAGTTGGTAGAATTGTTGCCTCTCAGCAAGAAGGTCACCTGTTCAAATCCCAGCTCGGGGCCTTTCTGGGTGGAGTTTTCATGTTCTCTCCATGCATGCGTGGGTTTTCTCCAGGTCCCACAAAACATGCATGTTAGGCTGACTGGTAACTCTAAATTGTCCCTAGGTGAGAGAGAGAGAGTGAATGGTTGTTTGTCTCTGTGTCCCTGTGATGGACTGGAGACCTGTCCAGTCGAGAAACCATGTAGTCTGACAGGTGCACTTGGTCTTCCATTTATGTGACAAAACCTGCACAAATTTGTTCGTGTGGACTGAAGGCCTGTTCATAATTTGTGGAGACTGTAAATTAGGTCGGGTGTCCATAGTTTGAGACATTTTATAATGTGAGGTGGTGAGGGGGGAGGACTTACACCGACTAATTAATACCTGTACACATGAGAAATTATGAGTGGTTATGTGCTATACATGCATGCCATATCCAAATGTCTCCAGATCATGGACACTGTCTACCACAGTTTGATGGACTAGATGGGTTAACTAGCATATTAATGATGTAAAGAAGCCTGGACAACATTCATCTTAATATCCAGGATATCCAGTTCTACACCGGCTACAGCACCAGACTTTTTGATCAGTTTGTCAAACCTGCTAGTGTCTGCCACCTTCTTCACAGCAGACCACTGAGTAGAAGACGGTACTGGCCACGACTATCTCACAGAACATCAGCAGAATGGTGTGTCGTCTGTGCAGGAAGCACATCTGACTCTGATCTTTATTTTAGCTAGCTTCTGGTGTGATTTGATGTTGCTGTTCTAGAACCAGATCTGCTGCTAAGAACTGAAGTGAAACAATTAAATTCCATGAAATCAGAGAAGCTCACATCTTATGGTCATCAAACAGCAGCATGTGTGCTTTTGTGTGAGGGATGTTTAATGCTTTTTCATTAAAAAAATAATTAATGAACCTAGGGTGTTATTCATACTTCTGTACGCACTGTGGATGTTTTTTCTCTGAATCAAAAGGCAGAGCAGACGTGGAATTTTGTTACACCTTCCCCAGTGTCCTCACCTTGTCATGGTTTCAGTGGGAAAAAACTGCAGCTCGTTGTGGTCCAGACTAAGTCGGGTGAGTGTGAACAGACCAGCAAAGGCCTCTATGTCCAGGTAGTTTAGAGAGTTATGACTCAGACGAAGCCACTTGATGTTCTGCAAGCCCTTGAAGGAAAGGAAATTGTTCAGTTTACAAATGCTCCAACACCAGAAAGATTAGTGCTTAAGGTCCTGTATATGACCCTCTATAATGTTTTAGAGAACTTATGCTGACATATGTAAATTTTGTCCAATACACAGGCATACACTGAAAATGACTTAAAAAAATCAGTTGAAACCTTTTATGGATGTACATACCGTGTTGCTAACAAGTTAAACAAATATTTATTTATTAAACCAGGGAAATCCCATTGAGATCACCGATCTCTTGCAAGGGAGGCCTGGACCTGAAGGCAGACTAACATGCATGTTTTTTTGTTTTTGGTGGGTTTTTTTGGTCTGTGGGAGGAAACTGGAGCATCTGGAGAAAACCCACGCAAGCACGCGAAGAACATGCAAACTCCACACAGAAAGACCCCAGGTCCAACCGGGGATTGAACCCAGGACCTTCTTGCTGTGAGGCAACAGTGGTGACCACATGGTGCTGCCATGAATATACAACCTATGAGTAGCTTATCCATAATTTGTCCCTAGAATCTGCATAACTTGCACAAGCACATAACCAGTTACTGACTTATTCAGAGCAAATGATTAACGTTGTTAAGGTCTGTGGGTGATGTCAAAGGCGAACGGTTTGAAGCAAGGATTAAACAACTTGAGGTAAAAAAACAATTATATTTATTGGTTCAGGTGTAGCTGGTAAACTTAAACTCAGGATGGATCCACTGTGGGAATAGAGAGGAGATTGGTGGTGAACGACAAATCGTCTTGAGGAGATTTTGGAAATGTTGAGAGTAATTCAAAAATAAGCTTACTTGTCGTTGTTGTTCCAGGAGCATGAGAACAGGAGACAGGATCCGAATCCAACAATCCATGGTGGGATCAGGTGAGTATATTTACAAGTGTATTTACAAAAATCACCAAGGGAGCCGGGGTGGAGGTGAGGAGAAACCAGGAACCAGGTGAGGCACACAGGAGTAAAGGTGGAGGAG